TCGAGCACATGACAAGAAGGTGCGCCCGAGAATATTCCGTGAAGGAGATCTGGTGCTAAAAAAACTTTGGCCAATCCAGAAAGATTTCAGAGGAAAATGGATGGCAAATTGGGAAGTACCTTATATCGTGAAAAAAGCCTTTTTCGGAGGAGCACTTGTCCTGGCCGAAATGGACGGACCTGAACTGCCAAATCCCGTCAATCCGGATGCAGTCAAGAAATATTTCGCTTAGGATAAAAACCCGAAAGGGCGTCCTAAGTCGAAGAAGAAAAAGAAAAAGAAAAGAAAAAAAAAGAGAAAAACGTTTAGGGTGAAAACCCGAAAGGGCGCCCTAAATTGAAAAAAAAAGAACAAAAGAACAAAAGAGAAAAAGAAAATTAAGGTGGGTTCAAGATGAAAACCCGCAAAGGGATTCTTGCAACCAAGGATGGGTCCAAGTTGAAAACACGAAAAGGCGATTTGGATATTGATTCAAGAAATCCAGACAGTGGAAACATCCCGACATCTGAATCTTCTACAGACTCAACGAGTCGGACAAAGGTTGCACTCTCCATAACGTTGCCGTATTTTCGAAGATTCCTTGACAAAGGATGCGTTAAAGGTCACCTAACGGGTTTTCAACTCAGAAGTTCCCATATTATCGAGATCTAAAACATTCATTCACACTTCATCATGTATTTATTTTCTAGAATGTTTGTCATGTATTATTTGTTCTTTTTCCCTTATGAATAAAGACAATCTTTTCTCTAAATCAATTCCTTTTGAGCATCTTGGATTGAACTTAAACCTAATGATTTATTTACTTTGCAAAAGATAATTGCATATTATTGTACAAAGATTCTTTGAAGAGTACAGGTACTCGGAAAGACAATCAAGGCTCATGTACATACTTGAGATGGTCTAGAAGCATTTCCCAAATCAAGGAACAAAGAATATCAGATTTAAACATTTCAAGAATTCAAGATCAAGGATCAGAACTTCAAGATTCCAGACATGCAACCGGAGATCGAGATTTCTCTCCAGAGCCCAAAATAACATATGTTGCATATGAATTTTAGGCATACCTAAGAGCATTGCATCCATAACATCACATATATGCATAACTTTGCAGGTTCTAGCTAGAGTAAATTTCAACTTCACAACGAAGGATATTGGGCTCAAAGCGACACTATTTACTCGAGATTGGATTTCAACTTCACAAATGAAGGATATCCAACTCAAAACCAATTTACTCTAGATTAGATTTCAACTTCACGACGAAGGATATCCAATTCAAGGCTCAACTTCACGATGAAGGGCCATCCACGATTTCAACTTCATGATAAAGGATATCGTGTCTACTAGCAATATTCATCTTCAAATTGGATTTCAACTTCACGACGAAGGATATCCAATTCGAGGCTCAACTTCATAATGAATGAGCCATCCACGATTTCAATTTCACGACGAAGGATATCGTGCCAACTCTAGATTGGATTTCGACTTCACGACGAAGGATATCCAATTCAAAGCTCAACTTCACAGCGAAGGGGCTTCCCAGTTTCATTCAGAGCTAATTTCAACTTCACGGCGAAGGATATTGGTATCGAAACAATACAACTTACACAAGATTAGATTTAAACTTCACGACGAAAGATATCCAATCCAAGGCTCAACTTCACAATGAAAGGGCCATCCACGATTTCAACTTCACGACGAAGGATATCGTCTTCACAAGAAGCATTGGATTTCAACTTCACAACGAATGATATCCAATTCAAAGCTCAACTTTACAGCGAATGGGCTTCCCAGTTTCATTCAGAGCCAATTTCAACTTCATGGCGAAGGATATTGGACTTGAAACAACGCAACTTACACAAGATTGGATTTTAACTTCACGACGAAGGATATCCAATTCGAGGCTCAACTTCACAACAAGGGGCCATCTACGATTTCAACTTCACGATGAAGGATATCGTACCCGAAAGATTGATCCAACTTCATGACGAAGGAGTCATCTGTAACACAGCAACACCGAAGTATTCAGATCAAGTTTCAACTTCACGATGAAGTAACTTTAGCTAGAATATGATTCCAGGGGCCACGTGCCAAAAGCTTTGAGTTCGATTTCAACTTCACGACGAAGGATATTGTGCTTAGAAGTTTCCAGTTCAACTCGACCTCAAGACGAGGGAGTCATTTCATATTTCAGTTCAAATTGACAAACCAGTCTTAATATCGGATTTCAACTCTATGACAGAGGATATTCGATATGGCCGAAATTCGTGTATTGTAATCTTTGCTCTATTTTCGTTACACGATAATGAGCAAAGAGGGGCAGCTGAAGACACTCAATTTCGTCTGTTGTTATTAATACTATTATATTATATAATATTACAAATTATATTTTATAATTATATATATATAGTTCTTTTTTGCATTTTGCAGGCCCAACAAACATTTACATCAAGCCTAACAACGGCCCGAATCAACAGAAACCCAGCACCCAGCAGCCCAGTGGCCTAAAGTGAAGCAACCCAAGCTGTAACTCGAACCTGCGAACCGATCTAGACCCGAACCGTAGGTCGACCCAGAACAGTTAGGGTTGGAAAACCTTAACTTTCATGCTAAGCGCTACATCTCGCCCCACACCTCACACAGCCATTTAGTCAACCCAATTTTTCTAGCATAAGTATCTCACGAGCATCACCAACAATCCGTAACAAATAGCAAACATCAGTGTTATAATAGGAACATGACTCTATCTCTAAAATAGCCAAATATGAGGCTATAAATTACATGTAAACTAGAACACAACACACACAGTATACCACGATTACACTAGCAAATATGAGAAATCGAAGCAAACACTTGTAACCTTCGAAAACAAAGAAATAAAAAGGTAATATTTTTTACCTTCGGTTTGTTTGATTTTCACTTGCATGCGTGGCTTGGGGTGTTCTTATTTTTTTTTGTTAATTCAAAACGAGAGGCCAGTGACAAAGAGGGGGAGGATTTTTCGAACTTTTGTTCGTAGATCTACTCTCCCCGAGGCTTTCTCAAAAAAACTACTTTGATTTTCGAAAACTAGGGGGGAAGGGCTTTTAAAAAATAAAAAAAAAAAAATTTCGCCGCCAATGAACGGCGGCCGGTGAGGCGGCACAGGGTGTCCGTTTTCTGGGTTCTTGAAGAACCCGGTCGTGTTCATCCTTTGGGATGAACGAACCAGAGAAAATGGTGAGTGAGGGGGAGGCTCTCGAATTGAATCAAGGAAAAATGAGGTTTTTCAAAAAAATTTAACTCTTATACTAAGCCCATCGGACTTCCACGACCTGACCCACACCCACGTTGACCCGCGTGTTTTTAAAGAGAAAGGGATTTAATCCCCTTTCCAGTCTCTCTGCATTTTTAAACTTTGCAATTTAGCCCTGAATTCGATTCAAAATATGAATTTATTCTTAAATTAACCTTTGAATTTGTTCTTTTTTTAACTTAATCCTTTTATTTTATTTTATTTTTTAATTTTATTTCTTTTTTTATATACGATATTATATTTATTTTTTTTATTTTACTTTAATCTTTTTTTATTTGCGTATTTCTTTTTTATATATTTTTCTTCTTTTTATATTTTATATTTTATATTTTTATATATTTTTTACTTCTGGGTTTGCACGTTATTATTATTTTATTTATTATTGCATTTCTTATTTTAATTATTTTCTTTATTTTTTTATCTTTTGTATATTTCCTTTATCTTTATTTTATTTTATTCCTCTTTATTTATCTTGTTTCTTGATATTGATTTTTTATTTTATTTTTGTTTTATATTTATTTATTTATTTATTATATATGTTGTTATAATTTTTTTTTATTTCTTTCCCTTTTTATTATTTTGCTTACTTTATTTACCTTTTTATCTTGTTTTATTTATTTATTTTATTTATCTCTTTTATGTATTTCATTTCTTGCCCTTTATTTTGTTTTCCATATTTTAGTTACTTTTATTACCTTATTCTGTCGCGTTTCTTGATTCTTTAAGGGTACGTTTTCAAAACCGTTAGAGGTAAGCAATTTTGATCGCATTTTACCTTTTAATTTAAATTTACAACTTTCTTAATTAAAGACAACTGAAAATTACGTAGTATCGAAAGGGCAGTTTAAGGGTGCTAACCATTCATTGATTGTAATCGACTCCCGAATTCGACACATCTTTGGTAAGATGCATATCAGGTAAGAAATAAGGTATCTGATCTACCCATTTATTTTAAAATAAAAGATCGGTGGCGACTCTAGTCCGTTTTATTTAAGTCGAATCCTAATTTCAGTGCCCACCCGAAAGACCGTTCGATAATTATTTATTAATTTAAAATTAAAATAAATTATAATTTACTACCTTAATTTTATTACAATATATATAGGGTATGATCCACTTACACTAAAACTTTTAGTTTATCGTTGGATGAGGAGAAATTAAAGAATGAAATTAATTCATTGTTTTTTTTTCAGTGAACATCTTCACATTTTTACTGTTAATCTCAATTTTTATTTTCCTCGTCTAACGATCTTAAAAATGTGTAAAACTTTTTAGTTTTGCATAATATAAGCGGATCATATATATATATATATATATATGTTATTTTTATATAATAATATAAAAATACATAAAATGGTATTTTATAATTATCTTCAGAAGAAATCTATTATCTCTATATCCAAATACAACCAATTAATTCAAATAAATCAATCTAAAATTTAAAAAAAAAACAATTCTATCAAAAAGATTGCATCAAACTCATGAATTATGATGAATAATATATTTTTTCTTAAAAAAAAAAAAGAAAGAAGAAAACCGCCATATGGCAGAGTTATCTCGTTCATTCAGAACCAAAACGCGACCAATCCAAATGTAGGATAAGCTTTGCAATAATTGGTTATTAATCAATTAATAAACCATATTTAAGAGAAAAAAGCTTCCGTTACTTTTCTTCTCCCTATATATTCCCCTAACCCTCACCATCGATTTCTCGAAACAAAGAGATTTCTATAAACGAAAAACTCGCACACCATGCACTCTTACTTTTCCGTCTCAAACTCTCTCACCGGTTATTCAATTTCTCATCCGTCAACTCCTCGTGTCAGACTCCGTCCAACTATCGCCGCGATCTCCGACACCGCCACCGTCACTGCCACTTTCAATTCAAAGCAACAAAAAGCTTCGACGCCGAGCGGTTATCTTAGCCGTCCAGGAATGGCAGCCTGCACGTCGTTGTACGAGGTGCTAGGGATTTCTGTCGGCGCTTCGAGCGAAGAAATCAAGGCAGCGTACCGCCAATTGGCGAGGATTTGTCATCCAGACGTGGCGGCAATCGGTCGGAAAGACTCATCGGCGGACGAATTCATGAAGATCCATGCAGCCTACAGCACCTTATCGGATCCCGAGAAACGAGCCGTATATGATAGTAAGCTTACCTGGAGGAGCCAAAGGCCTTTGACTTCGGATTCTAGGTTTTCAGGTTATTCGGGGAGGAGTTGGGAGACCGATCAGTGCTGGTAAATGTGTTGACTCACTTCATCTCGGTACCGAGTTGGAGGTTGAACTCATCAGCGTGTTTCTCAATACTAACGGAGAAAAGAAAAATCAACGAGCGGTGGGTTTTGCTAGAGAAATCAGAGCCGTTGAATGAGCTCTGCTCTTTTTTCGCCTTTGTGCTTCGCTGCTGAGTCATAAACAAGACGGACAAGATATGAATTTCCATTGTACTTCTTATTTTGCAGTCACTGAAATCAAATTACTAAAGGAATACCATTTGCTTGTTTTTAGCTTAATTAACGCTATTAGATGTGAAGTTTTACCTCGCAAAATGTGTATATATTAAGTAAATTTATCAGATCGAATTTAGATTCTCGTAAAAATAATATTTTTTTACAATTGAGATCTTACTATTTAATTTCAAAATATTACTTAAATTTATAAATTTGTTAGATGTCTTAGTTAAAACCAAAATTTCAAATGAAATATTCCCGACTATCGAGAAAAATATACATTAAATTCATATTATATTTCACTTGTTGACGGTTTTCTTTGCCATACTTTTCCCGTGATATTATTTTGTCATCAGTTACTTTGGAATGTGAAAGGTGGTTTTTATTTTTGTTCTCAATTTCACATGCCCCATGCTTAGATCCAGATTCAAACTCATTTTCATATCCTGAATTTAGACTCATTCTGAATGCGAAAGTTTAGAAAATTGGGACCCAGATTTAATTTAATGGATCTCATGGATTCGAGTTTAAAATAGATCTATTAAAAAATGATAATTCGATATACTTTTTAACGTAATAAAATTGTCATTGATTAATTTCATATCATATTCCCAATAAATGAAAGATTAATTTCAATACAATTAGTAACAAAATAAAAATGATAAACTAAAGTTTTTAAAAAAACTCCTAACATAATTAGACAAATATCTTTTGAATAACATAAACATTAAAAAAATGTAGATAATGAAATTTCTTATTGTCACAAGCTTAATATTGTATTTCTATCTCTTTAAAGTACTAGTCTTTATCACTATTTAAATCATCAACATTCTAAAATAAACAACCAATGGAAGAAAAAATTTTGTTTAATGAAAATAATATTTGTGAAATTTAAATATTAATATTAAGGTTGTGTAATATAATAACTTTCTTATATACTATATCAATGATATCATTCACTTCATCATCACAATTTTCATTAATAATGGGCTAAGTATGTGTTCCTTCAAAAGTGTTTTTATCATAAATAAATAAAAAATACATTACAAAATAATGAAAAATAATGAAAAATATAAAATTAAAGCGAAGGAAGTGAAATAATATAATTACTAATAAGTATACAAAATAACCCTATAAAAATTCAGGTGTCTCCTTTATAAAATATTTATATATATTTTAAAATCTATTATGTTATTTATATATATTTTTTAAAATTAAAGTTGGGTTTTTTTATAATCTGGTAAATTAATTTAGATTCAGTATTTTAGTGTCAGATTTAGACCCGAATTTATACTTTAATCACAGGATTTAGATTCGAATTTAGATTCGGTCTGAATTCATCGGTCCAAAATTTGAGAATCCAAATCTTATAAAATATATTTGAATCTACAGATTCGGATCATGTACAAGATCCGATGCCATCTCTACCCATGCTACTCGAGGTATAGCGATACTGGATCATAGCCACCCCGGTCCGACGCTTCACCCTCTTGACTTTAAATGTATAAGAAATAAAATTGTAAAATAATTTAAAAGTAATAAATTAGCATCCGTTATTTTTTATGTACACTTAAAAGATCTATTTATAAATTTTAGTATCATATTTTTAACAATCTAAAATTAAATACATTTTTAACTATCGACAATATATATACTAAATATACAATTATTTAAATTCAAAATCTTTAGAAAGGATAACACTTTTATTAAACATTAGAACCGTTTGATGAGGTTTTTTACGTAAGTTATTAAGATATGTAAAAGGCAGTGTAAACTAATGTCATACGTTTATAAATAATGGCTTTTTGGGTAAAATAATTAAATGAATTTCAGGATACACCAAGGTAATCGGTACAACATAAGTGAGTTTATTGTTTTCGTTTCAATATCGGCAGACTCATCGAACATTCATATACTTGAAGTTTCTTAATAGAATGTAAATTACACGATGACACATGCATAAAAATATTTATATTAATTGAAATGAATAATCTAAATTCAATGATTATATTGTTTTAATTTATTATAAGATATAAAATAATTAAGGTTTTGATGAAAACTAAACCCATATAATTTAGTATTGAAATTGTACCTTTTACAACTTTGAAGTGAACTTTTGTAAAAATCCAACTTTAATTCCTAAATGATGAAGATATTTTGGTTTGATTATTAAGGGGATAGACCTGTGTGTATTAGACAATATGTAGGGTAGGGTAAAGAAAGGACAAGACAAACGGAATTCAGTATCTATCTGTCCCTCACTATGCCCTATTGTTTACTTCTTTAAAGGACACAACGATGATTGTTTCTAGAAGACATCCATTACGTGAAACAAGTCAACTGCGCCACCGGCTTTATCTATCCAATTTTGACAACACATCTTTATTTTTAGTTGCGGGGATTGAGCCAGCCTGCCTAAGAATCTGAAGAAAACCAAAAGCTTTTAAACTTGGATCAAGCTTACCACTGTTAGAAAGGGAACAAGAGTCAGTAGTCATATTCTTCTTTTCCTTTTGCCAATTTTGGAAATCTTTGTTGCATTATTTTAGTCTGGTCCAGTTCATTGTTACTTGGAGCACTACATAATTTCATCCAACATTTATATTCTTAATTAGGGGGAGTTATGACGTGAGACGATTAAAATAAGGTTAATAAATAATATATCTTATAAAAAAAAGTAACATGTAAAAAGTAAAACAAAAAATGTTATAATTTGAAATCGAAAAAATGGTCAATCGAAGTAACATAACAGGTTGCATCTAAAATGTTATAAACGGTAAGAAAATGAGTTATGAACGGTAAATGTTATAAATATTATTAACATTTTAGGTTGCACCTAAAATGTTACTAGAGTTTAAGTTGATGGTGTCTTAGATATTTTCACGATAAAAATAATAATTTAATAGCTAAAAATGTTATGAATAATAAGGTTGTGCCAAAAATTTCACGGTTCACTAAGAAATATGTTGTGATATGTAATGTTAATATTTTTATTAATAAAATAGGTTGAACCTAAAATGTTACTAGAGTTTAGGTTGATGGGGTCTTAGACATTCTCACAATAACAAAATAAGTTAATAGCTAAAAATGTTATGAATATCTATAACAAACGATTGTGCCCAAGAATGTCATGGTTCATTAAGAAAGTAGGTTGTCATCTAGAATGTTAATATTTTTATTAATAAAATGGATTGCGCCTAAAATGTTACTAGAATTTAAGCTAATAGGGCCTTAAACATTCCCACGATAAGGAAAAAGTTAAAAGCTGTAAATATTATGAATATTTATAATAAATAACGTTGCGCCCAAGAATGTCATGGTTCACTAAAAAGTAGATTGCAATCGAATGTTGAATTTCAAAAATGAGATCCTTATAAAAAGGAAGGTTGATAGCTAGCGGATTCATCAGTCATTCAAGAAGTGATTTATCAAGATCATAATAGTCAGATATTTTTTGGAGGCACTAAGTAATCAGAAAGGTATTCAGATTCTTTTAATCAGAGTTACTTGAGATTTCATATATAACATGAGTGATTCTATTATTCAGGCAATCTTAGTCATTTTAGACACTTTGGTTTCTCGAAGAATTCTTAGTAATTTAACCCAATGAGGGTAAAACAACAATTTATAGAATTTAGGATTTATATCGAATTATCAGGATTTCAAGTCAAATTAAACTAACCAATCCCAACACTGCGATACTTGCCAATCATTCAGACCGAGGTACTTCAACATTATTCACTTCTTAATACTGATTGCTCTAATTGAACTGATCACCTTCAGAATCATCGTTGAATGGATCTTAGGGAGACAAAATGTATTCTAATGATATTTATTTCATTTATGTATTGCAACGATATCAATAAATATCGATGTGCTTGATTGTGGTTTATAATCCTTATGGATAATACAACATATAAGTTCATCAGCGTTTCCAGACTTATCTCAGTCATTCACTTAATTCTAGGTCATTGAGGGTACTTAGGTAATTTAGTATTAAAGTTTATCCTGGTCATTTCGGAGTTTCCAGAATAATTCGATCGTTTCAACAATTCGGATACTTATAGTACTTCCATTTAGTTCAACTTTGTCATATAATATAGTCATTTCGAGTAATTCAAACGTGTAAAGTACTTTTGGTAATTTAGCCTCCGGGTGTTTACTCAGGAATTAGGAATTCTATGTCATTTTTCCATTTCGAGGATATTTCAGTCATTTCATTTAATTTTGATATATACATTAATTCTGGCAAATTAGTCTTTAAGAGTTTACTCAAGAATTAGAATTCTAAGTCCTTTACCATCTCAGAGGTTATGATCGATTAACATGGTTATTTTCACTTTCAAGGAAAATCCTTGTCTTTTACATCACACGGGTATTTTCGTAGTTTCTTATCCAAGTATTTCCGACATTTAACCTATAACGAGATTATTCAGAATTTATGAATCCTGAGATTAATTGATTTACTGATTAAATCGCTGAACTTAGATTTATCTCTTATCGATCTTCTAGTTCCTTAAATGAGTCAATTGATTCTTATTGGGTTTACTATCTTTATACCATATTCAATTCGAGTCCATCAATAATTAACTCTATGTAATTAACCAATAACTCCAATCATGCTTTAACAAATCACCACCATGTACATAAAGCATACATAGGGTAATAAAGTATTACCTCGATTTTAGAACCACATCGTTCGATAATTTTAATTCCATTCGATCACTCTCAAACTTTAATTTCACGACTCATAATGTCTCGGATGCATGACAAAATAAATTACATAAAAAATTGGATATTAATTGGGAAAAACATATTGAATTGTAAGATAAAATGCTAAAAAAAAACTTATCGGGTTCGAATTTGATGAAACGGACTTTGGATTCGGACTCAGGATGTCGAAAAACATAAAATATTATTTTTCAAGAAATTTAAATTTTTGGTCAAAGTCAACAGTCAAACTAGTCAAAGATCAAAGTCAAAGTCAACTGTCAACGGTTCGGGTCAAGTTAATGGGTCAGGTCG